ATTAAAAAAAGAGACTCTCAATATCCTAAGCTGCTAAAGAAATTACACTTAATAAACAAAATAATACCCAAGCTGTATGAGATTATCCCCAAAATTAAAAGATCAATTGGACTGATATGTCTGTCTAAAGAAACAAGATTTATATTTCCAATTGCCTGGAGGAGAAATCCATTTAATATAAACTTGTGTTGCCAGGCATTCTATCTGATATGCTTTTTAGAATAAAACTTGATCACAATATTTATGTGTAGGACAGGAAAACATTAAATGGGTTAAGATTTGTGACCTCTGTATACAATAAAATTAGGAATTTTAAAAATTGCCCAAGCGCATTGCATAAAAAGTGCATACATATGTGCCCAAGTGTATTACATTAACCCATTATTTTCCCTTCAATATTTTTTTCCTCCTCAAAGCAACAATCCAATCTTAAGTACAAACAGGTTAGAAAAGATGCTATTTATCCCAAAGGTTAATGCCAAAGTTCCCAAAATCCACAAGATAGAGGATGTCTGCGTGCCTGACTTGCTTGGATTTATAAACACTAAAAACGTGGAGAGTGTGATGTTTTTGAACTACCGTACTTACCTGTCTTCTGGTAGTTCATCACCCCCCACCCCCACTTCCTTCAAGTAAATAGGTCACTGTGAGTTCATTGCCTCAGGGGAGAGTGAAACAAAAACCAAGTCCTTGGTCTTAGAATGAGGAGGACTGAGGGCCCAGACAAAACGTTCAGAAGAAACATCATTCCTTCTGGACATCTTTATTGTCTGCCATCTCTATGCCAGGCACAGAGCTAGAAAGTGGGGACAGAGCCATAAACAAGACAGACAGGTCTTGGGGCTTGCATTCTAGAATAGAGCCCTGAAGAATGGAAGAGCCTCCCTGGATGAAGGGAGAGGGCAGAAAGAAGTGATGAGACAGGGGTAGTGGTGGGTCTTCAAAAGAAGCCCCATGCTCTACTTCTGAGTCAGAGACCCTGCAAAGCAGCAAAACGGGAGGTTACTTTAGGGACCTGAGCGCTCAGGAGCGCTGCGCACTGGTTCTTGGATCGTGGCCCCAGGAAAGGGACAAGAGCCAAATAGGTTATGGTTGTGCAGTGTGTCTGGGCAGATGGGGCCACAAACAAGCTACCTGGTATTTCCAGGCCACCGGCACGCTGAAGCACTGAAGTGCTTCTCAAGCCCTCAAGCACGGAAAGAAGTGTGGAAGAGAGCACCTGGATGCTGTAAGGGCAAATATAAACTAAGAAAAAGAGGCTTCATTCTCCCTGTTGAAATAAGGGAAGAGACATCCCTCTCAGTCCCTTTTCTTAGAGCTTTTACTTTAGAAACCTCGTCATTGCAAATTCTTTCTCCGTCTCTTTGAAATGTAAGTAAATCTTTTTAAAAGCTAAATAAGCATTTGGCTGGTTTTGCAACCCAGGAATGTCTTTCTCAAGGACCTGGGAATCATATCTTTGGAATGTAAACATCCAAGGGAAGCAATACCCTGGTCTCCCAGTTTCTGTGGGAAGGTAGGAGCCCCTTTCCAAAACTACCTCCCGTTATAAAGAAGCGTGTTTTTCCTTCATATGAAGCCTATTAGCTAACACAGATGGTGACCCCAATTACCAGGGAAAGTTAGGATGGACCATGAGTGACAAATGGTGCTGTCAAGTCCTCTTACTTAAGGACTCATTATCATTTCTCTTGAGAACAGGGATGTAATGGGTTCTATCTGCTTGGCTATATAAAAGGGTGAGATTTCTTTTTGTCTTTGCAATCTCTTAGCAGATTGCCTGTGGTGTACATCACATTCTGGTTCAATATTTATTCAATTATAAAAGTGTTTTCTTTCTCTACTACCTTTGTGGAGAGGATTTCTGTGTTGGGAGATTTTGTTTTTGTTTCCCCAGCAATGAGAATGGGACAAGTGGGGAGAATAATAACTGACTTAGTGAACACAGACTTGGAGAGATGACATCAAAGACGATACGGGCCCCCTAGCCACAACTACAGAAGTTCCCCAAAACTTGGATGCATTTTGGAGAAATTTTGGAGAAAAGGCAGGAAACCCAATTGATGAGATTTAATTACACATCCTCTACAGAATGGGAGCTTAAAATAAAGATTAATTCGTTACAGGGTGTGGACTTGCTGATGTTTAAATTTGGGAGTCTTACTTCACACTTAACAACCCATCTCCTCTGGGTGGAAGGAAACGACGTTTATAACAGTGGTTCTCAAATTTTGCTGCATATTAGTCTTACCCGGGGAGTTTTTAAAATTCTGATGCCCAGGCAATATCTGGAGCTAATTAAATCAGAATCTCTGGAAGAGGGATGCAAGCCATCATTAGTTTTTAAAGTTCTCTAAGTGATTTCAATATGCAAACAAGTTTGAGAACCAGTGATTTAAAGTGGTACTTCTCAAACTTGAGTGTGCACACAAATCACCTAGAGATCGTGCTAAAATGCAGATGCTGATCTAAAAGGTCCAGGATGGGGCCTGAGAGTCTGCATTTCTAACAAGTTCCCACTCTAAGTAGCAACGATTTAAGGACCTCTAGCATGTGCCAAGTGCTTTACTTCTGGTTACTAAGACGTTTCATAGTAGTTATCCTCTAAAGGGTAGGCTCTGGGGTCAGACTGCCTGGCTTTGAATCTTGGCTCTGCCCTTCGTTGTACTTCAGTATTTTTATCTATAAAATGAGAATGGTGATAATGGCACCTACCAATGACAGTGGGAGTAGTGGTATGAGGGGTGTGTCATTAATTTCATTTTACAGATGAGGAAATTGAAGTTCAAAGAGCATCAGTACTTTACCATGCTCACTTTGCCGGTAATTGGTAGGCAGAGGCTTGAAGCCAGATCTTTTCCCACGACATCATGGTGCTTTAAGGGGCTGGATTTAATCTAATTATCCTCCTCTCTTCCCTGTTTCTGATCATGGAATCACTGACATTCTGGTTGCAGAGAGCGTAAATGAGTCATCTCTGACCTCTCCATCCTTTCTCTTCATAACCAGTTGCCATTTGCTAAAACTCACTGATTTCATGCGTGATCCCCCTACTCTGCTCCCATGGCATTAGTCAAATTCAGTTTCCCATGATCTCTCACTCTGAACTTCAAAAATAGCTTTATATTTCTTTTCATGAACAGTGGTTCTGTAATTGGTGTCCTTACTCTGAAATCTTTCACACTACTCCCAAGTTAACCTGAGCATGGGACTCCCCATGTCATAAACCAGCAATGACTCTCCATTACCTACTAAATAAAACTCAGTCTTCATAGCCTGCCTTTCCATGATCTGGCCCTTAGCCTCGGTTTTTGTTTTTTACTATTGCTTCTATAATGCCTCCTCCGTCTTTTCTTCCCACCAGATGCCCTAGGAGGTCACCTCTCCTCTTCAGAATTCCTCTAGCACTTTATCTGCACCTAGCACACTGCTGTGCAAACGGTAGCCCTCCAATAACCAAATGAATGAATGAGTGAATGGCCATCAGTCTTGAATTCTAATTCCCAAGGACCTAGGGGCTCACTCTCAAGAATGTCTCTAGAGCTGGTATCCTCAGCCTCAGCATTTTGGGAGTTGTGAGTGTGTTATAAAGAATTTGTTCCTATTAATAAAGTACATTTTCAAATGATCTCTTTTTCTAACAATTAGAGCAGATTCAAGATGATCCCTATAAGAATGACACCATTGCTTACTTGCATTATGATTTCTGAAGCTTTGGGAATGCCCAGCACTGACTGGGCTGGCCAGCAGTGAATTAATTCAGAAATTAAAAGAGCATGATGCACATTCAAAGGTCCTGTGAGTGCTAGAGCCAAAGATTGATTATTTCCTGAACTACACTCTAGATACAATTTCAGCCAAGCCACAAATACCAATAATGATATAATGATAGATCTATTCTCAAAAATATTTCAGTCACGTCTAGCAACTAGCTGGCCAGATTAAACAAGGAATTTAGGTTTGGAGAGAGAGAATGCAGAAGCAGATGGGGCAATATATGAAATACAGCCAAGAAAGCAAAGTACCAGTCCAAGAATGCCATTACATCACCCTATGACCTTTGGCAAGACGCCTTAACCTCTCCTGCCTCAGGCTCGTCATCTTTACAGGTTACAAAATGATAGGGATTGCGAAGATTAGATGAAAAGGTGCTTTTTAAAGTTAGAAGAGCTGCACAAATGTTATATTTACAAGTACGAGTTCTCATTAACCATAGTTTACTAATGAGGGAGCAACCCCACAATAAATCTTACCTCAGTGAATACACTCTGCACAGGGACCATCTGGTTATATTTCTTCAACCTTTTTAAAACGTTGGAAATGTTAACTCTCGGCTCTCATACTCTATTAGCACTTATCTCTACAGCTTCATCTGTAATATGCCTTCAGGAATTCACCTCAGTACATCAAGCCCTGCTGTCAGGCCAGCAGCCAGGCATGAGCCACACAGTATGCATTGGAGAAAAATACAGTCAATCAGTTCTGTGGCTAATGACAATTGTCAACTTCATTTGATGGTAGTTTTTCCCATAACTGTCAGAATATTCAAGATTTACAACATATTCTAACACCCTACCATAGCATTTCTGTTTAAATAATCCAAATGGTGAGAAAAACCGTAAAAGAAAAGTTTAGCTATCATGTTCTGGGCCCAGATGTATTTCCATGCAATATCTTGGGGAAACAAAAATTAATTTTCTTTGTAATACCCCATTTCCTTTTTACAAGATAAATTAATTTTTCCCCAAAAAGTGCTCAGTTTTACAGAGAACCAACTTAGAAATATTGAGGGTGTTTTCACTTTCCTATTCCTTTATGGAGGTCTGACATTTCTACTATACTGACAACGATAGGAGAAAAGGGTTTACCAAATATTTGAATAATTGATTAGAAACAGGGGAATTTCCTTGGCTTCTGAAAAAGGAGCTCTGCATCTTTAAGGCTCCACAGGCTCTCTCTGCTGGCGACGCAGACAGAGCAGGCTCTGCCGCAGCGACTCATCCTATCGATAAGGTTCAGTTAGCCAAGGTGGAGGATGGGAACAGAATGGAGCTGTCCCAGCTACTCAATGAGATCAGGGCAAACTATGAAAAGCTCCTCACCAGAAATCAGATAGAGACCGTGCTCTCAACAAGGATCCAGGTAATGATTTCATACAGACAGGCACCTTCCAGGATAAGGAGACAATCCATGTCTAACCAATTCCTGTCCCGGCCTCTCTGAGGTACAGTATTTCCTTTTCAATGCAGCATATACTGGGGAAGGAATTTAGCTTTTACTGCAATGTGACTGGGGCTACAGGGGGAAATGCTGTGATTATACTGTTAAACTACCATCAGATAAATGTGGATTGATGCATTTGATTTTTATATAAATTACGAGGTGACTATCATTAACAAAACATGGGGTCAACATGCAATAAAATGGTTCACTCTAACCTCTTTCAGGAAGGAAGCATTTCAAATACACTTCAAAGATATTACGGAGTTATTTATAGAGATAATTTAAATAATATCTTTAATATGACAAGCTTTATAGTAAGATTTATTGGCTTGCACACTTTGCAGAGATAAAGCTAAGTAAAATATTTCTAAAAGGTTCCCATCATCTTTTTAATGAGTTCAGTTTTATACCAGATTGTTATAAATAGAAATCATCTGAGTATGTGAACATGGCATTCAGGAACAATGATATAAATGGAACAATCAAAATTCCCCAAATTGATAATGACTCTCCACTTAGATTATAGATTTTTCCTTTTCTACTATGAGATATGTTTATTTCCAATATTAAGCATGCAATATTTAAGTATTTAAAAAAAGAGAGAGCCCAGGTAAATAAGGGCTAATTCCTAATTTCATAGACTTATTTTGTTTTAAAGTGAAAATCACCTTTAGCAATTAATTAAGGTCTCTAATCTTCAATCAAATGTACAAATAAATATTTTAGAAATGAAGATTCAGAAATTCAGGGGTTTGTGTGTGTGTGTGTGTGTGTGTGTTTTTTAGTTTACCTATCATATCTGAATTCAAATTCTATTCCAAGCACCCAAATAGAGCAGCGTTTACTTAAGAACATCACTAAAAGGGAAAAAATATTGCTAGGAAATCATAGGTCTTTATTCCATTAGCAATTCATCTTTAGTAACATTATAAATTTCACCTCTGGGTAACATTTTCAGTCTTCATAAAGAATGATCAGTATCCTAGATTAAGTAAAGTCACTGGGATATTTAAGTGTTGGAATAGGTCACTCACCTTTTACAAAAAGAAGAAAAAAATTAATAGATAACAATTTCTGAAAATTATAAATGAAATAAACATTTTATTTTGCAACAGTAAAAATACAAGTTATTTAGTTTACAAGTCACAATGCTGAAATGAATAAATTAAAGTGAAAAAGCAAGACTATAGTAAGTTTTCTTCAGTCTTTTTAACATAAATCTACTTTAGAGGATCTTCTTCAAAGAATTCAGAATGTCAGCTGGAATAAATTCAAGAAAGCCTGATTAATTATTATAAAATAAGGAAACACAAGCTATTTTAGTTACTTTTTGCTGTATAACAAACCACCCCAAAACTTAGTGGATTAAAACAGCTATTGTATTCCCTGGTATGATTCTGTGGGTTGACTGGGTTCAGTGGGGGTGATTCTTCTGCTGCACAGGACATTGGCTGGGACTTCAGTCATCTTGGGGCACAGCCTAGCTGGGACATCCAAAGTGGCTCACTCATGTGTCTGGCACCTTGGCAGGGGATTTCTGGAAGGCTGGCTCAGCTGAGACAACTGGGCCTGTTTCTCTCTCTCTCCATGTAGCCTCAAGGTCTCTCTCCATCTGGCCTCTCTACATGATCTCTCCAAGAGGGTATCCAGACTTCTTATATGTTGGATCAGGGCTCCCAAAAGCAAAGAAGTGGAAGTTGTCCAGGGCTTCCTAAGGTTTAGGTCTAAAACCAGTACTTCTGCCACACTCTACTAGCTAAAGCAAGACATAGTTCAGCCCAGAGTCAGCGTGGAAGGGGACCAAACGAGGACAGAAATTTGGGGAGGTGTGGTTCATCGGAGGCCATCTTTGGAATCCAGTTTCCACACAACCTAGCTGCCAGTTCCACACTCAAAATCCAAGAGACCAGTAGACACCAGCATTTTTATGCTCTCCTATTTCCTCAATTCCTGACGTTCTCTTTTGTCTTTGCTCTGATATTTGCTGCTGCTTGCCTTTACCAACTTAACACTAAGAACAAGTGATACAACAAGCCAAAAGAAGCATGAATTTTGTTCTCTAATTCCTTGTCCTAAACTTTATTCATAGACTTTCATTTACTCCAATGTTTCCTTTAAACAAAAAAAATCTATTGTACCATCAAATTAAATTTTTTTTATTTTAAAATGCATTTTTATAAAAAGATTAAAAAGTTGTCATTTTTGCTTCAAAATACTACAGTCGATTCCATACATGGCTCCTACTGCTCTTGGGGCCAAATGTTGAGAATTCTGTCAAAAGATACTTTAATTTCAACATCAGCATAAGAATATTTAAAGCTGAATATAAAATATTTCTCTTTTTATTTAATATGAGGACATTTAGAAAACAATCTTTAAAGATGTCATTTTTGCTACTACCCTAGATAGCCATAACTAACATGCCTTCTAAAAAGATCATTTTCAAAAAAAGATAAATCAACAATGGGTTTTCTTAATACTGAAGTCTATTTTGGAACCTCTAATGCCTATGATAACTTAATTCTCTAAATTATTCATAATATACTTTCTAGCAGTATTTACTCCCCGTTCATATACCCAGTCCCAGAATTGATCCGTTTAGGATTTATAGCAGCTTTTTATAAAGCAGTCTACAGGAAAATATGGGAGGGAAATAGTAGCTAATTTTCAATCTTTCTTCCTTAATGATATCATAAATAATGGAAAGTTAAGAATCAGAGGTCTCAAACTTCGGTCCTGCAAACCGTTACTTTTCATTAAAATAGATGTGTTTTTCTGCATCACAGACTATTACAGGAGGAAAGGACTTTTGAGGTTCCTTTTACATCTGAGAAAACTGAGGCTGAGAGTGCAACTGACTTGCTCACATATTTAATCAATTAGTAACTAAGCACTAGAACACATTTGTAATTAACAATTTGAAGAAAAAAATGATTTAATTCCTATACTCCTTTTCTATAATTGCTTTTAAATGTCTCATTTTCAAGAGTGCTCTTTGTTTTTTTTGTTATTGTTGTTGTTCGCTTTCTTCTAGCTAGAAGAAGATATAAGCAAAAAAATGGACAAAGATGAAGAGGCTTTAAAGGCAGCTCAAGCAGAACTCAAGGAAGCCCGTCGCCAGTGGTACCACCTGCAAGTGGAAATTGAATCCCTCCATGCTGTGGTGAGAATAATCTCAAAAGTGATCGGCCCATTGAGTCCTCAGATGTTACCTGGTTAAGAGAGGGAAAGGAATCATGTCCATTACTTTACAGGGAGAAACTAAAAACCAAGGCCACTGAATTCTATCCCTGGTCCTAGTTCAACTACCCCTGCCTCCATCATGACAAGGGCTATTATCAATTCATTCAAGGTTTAGTTCATGCCTATAAAAATGAAGTAATCCTTGCTTATCACACTGGGGTTCTCTAATTGTTGGAGTAGGGGAATAGAGCCTTTGTCATTAACCAAAGTCATAACAGTAGGGAGTCTTTTATCCATACCATTGAGACTTCTAACAGAAAAAGATTTAAACACTTCCTAAAACACCTTTTATATTCAATATTCTATACTTTCAATATTTAAAATATCAAATATAGTCAGCCCTCCATCACCGCGGATGTGGAACCCGCAGGTAAGGCAGGCCAACTAAGTGACTTGGGCATCCTCGGATTTTGGTATCCGTGGGGGGTCCTGGAACCAATCCAGTAAATCACTGTAAATCAGAGTGATATAATAAGTTAATCACACTGCAGAATATTTTTTTGCCATAAGAATTATCACACTATACCTTTGACATAGTAAGCTCTCTAGCTATATATATATATATAATATAATTTTTTTAACGTGGGTCATTCACAAAGCTGTAACAAAAGACCTCTTGCATAAATGTTGTACAATTATTGCAACCTTTTTAAGAAAGAACACAATAGGATGAAAACATTGCAAATCAGATTTCAGAAACACCTTTTGTTTCACTGATGAAGATCTATATAAAACAGGAAAGGGGCCTTGAAAACTCCCTACACGCCAGCGAGCAACATTACCAGACGCAGCTGCAAGACTTAGAGGCCGTGATTGAAAGACTAGAAAAAGAGCTACAGGAAGTAAGGCGTGGCATCGAAAAGCAGCTTCAAGAGCATGAGATGCTTCTCAACACAAAGATGAGGCTAGAACAAGAAATAGCAACTTATCGCCGCCTCCTCGAAAAGGAAGAAATCAGGTACCTCATTCCATATGGTTAATAACAAGTGGCCAGAAATATAGTGCCGCTTACATCATTGATGTAGTCAGAGAAATTAAATCTAAAAAACCCATCATCACCATGGCATGCTCGCCGAGCTCCGACAACAAAATAGGATTAGTATGCATTGCAAGGAATATGTGGGAGAACTATTTGCAGCCTCCCCAAATTATGAACATGATAACCAAAGTCAGGGACGTGAGCTACAACAAAGAGCACATTAAGCCTAGAACAAAAATGTTAACAATTCTCAATTGCTACAAAAATGACCTTCCTTAACTTTCTCACTTCCCTTGCCATTCATCTCTTTTAGAATTAGTGCCTTCTACGGACCACCCACAAGTAAAGCTGGGAAAATTCACATACTATTACCACATCCCCCACCCCCACCCCAAGAGCCCACTCCCACCACACATCAAACACCAAAATAATAATAATAATTAATAATAATAATGTGCTTATATTACAACCATAGAAAGCAATGTTGTTCTGAGTACATGTTAAAAGACTTCCAGATGTCCTGATCACAAAAGGTATCAGAAGAAGAACTCTTATTAATTCACACATTTTCATAATCTGTAATATCACTTATAAGGTCACATGGCTTTGAGCACAGCACAACTTCCAATTTTCCATGTTCTCATAAAAAGAAACCATTATTCTTGCTTGCTTCAGAATTCTGAGTCCTCTATAAAACTAGATGAAACTACTTTAACCTACAATAAGTCTTGACGTTTACTAAATCTTTGAAAAACATAAATTAAATTCAAAATATACCACTTACTAGCTGAGTGATGCTGGGCAAGTTACTGAACCTCTCTGTGCCTCAGTTTTCTCATCTATAAAATGGGAATAACGCTACCTCATAGGATTACTGTGAGGATTAAATGAATTCACGTTTCTAAAGTGCTTAAAACAGTGCTATGTAAATATATACATAATTTATTATTAAATAAAATAAATGGTTGTAAACTTTATTTAATGCCTAATCATTCAAGATGTTGATAAAGTGGTCTTTAATACAATTTTTTTAAACTTTGTTATGCTATATTTAAGATATACAAGAAAGTATCAAGAAAAATATAATGAACTCTCAGGTATGCACTTCTCCCAGCTTAAGAAGTGAAACGTTTACAACGTTGTTGAAATCTGCCCCCTACCCTGGGGCACCTAAACCACATCCCTCCAATCTCATCCTCCTCCCTCAGTCTAACCTGGCCCAGAATTTGATGCTTATTAGTCTCATACATTCCTTTATACTAATATGTATGTATCCCTAAGCAAAACATGAAATTGTTTTGCATATTATTTTAACCTTTATAAAATTAGCTACAATTTATCTTTTTTTTGTCCACTCAATGTTATACTTGGGAGATTCATCCATAAAGATACAGTATACCCTTAGTTCACTTATTTTCACTGCTAAATAGTGTTTCCATTGATGAATATACTACAATTTATCCATTCTCTTACTGGTGAGCATTTGTTTCAATTATATGCTAATACAATGTTGCTCCTATAACATAATTCTTTCCAATTTCAGATATTATGGTTGCATCCAAGGTGAAAAAAAAGAACAAAAACCTACCACAAGTAGAGTTGGTTTTGTTTTACCTTCAGGTGAGTTTCTGATATAAGTAAACTAACTTGAAAAGTGAAATGCCATTTATAGGGATTATTAATAAATTAAACACTCTAAAGTAGCTAAACCAAGCAATATTTGAATAAAGTTCGACATATAAATTGACTGAGAATAGTACTTCCACATTGTAATTTAATATTTCATAAGTAACATTTTCACAGCCATTATAAATGAAATATCTTTTTCAACAAAAGTCCCACAGAAGTGTGAGAATGAAAAAGTGGAAACAGTGACCAAACAGGCAATATTAAATGGAAATATCGTGAAGGAAAGCACTGAAGCTCGTGGTACTATCCAGTAAGTAAAATAATTCTGACCAAGAAATAATAATAAACACATGCAAAGAAATTAACTTCAATTGAGTAATCTCAGTAATCTTTGAATATTTCCAGACATAATTTTATACTGTGGTTTTTAATCTGACATGAATAAATATATATAAATGAAAACTCAGATGGAGTACTCAATCTTTAATTCACCATTTTCCTAAAAATATAACCAAAACATGAGAATGCCATACAATTCCTTAGAAATTATATTCATATGATTTTTAAAGTATATAAATTATAAATTCCACAATGTAAATTACAATTTAAAATGTAAATGTAAAATATAAATTATACAAATTTTTTGGCTTCTTTTTCACAAGAAATACATATTACATTTTTTAAAATATATCTATACTTCTTCATATAGAAAAGTTTATTTTATCATTTCAGGACAGAGAAAGTGGATGAAGTTATTAAAGAATGGGAAGGTTCCTTCTTTAAAGATAACCCTCGACTAAGGAAAAAATCTGTTTCTCTTCGATTTGATCTTCATTTAGCAGCCACTGATGAAGGGTGTTTACAGACTAAGCAGGATAATCTACCAGATATAGAAGTCAGGCTTATCATGAGAAGATCATGTAGTATCCCCTCTATCAAACCTCCATCAGCAGCTAATTAATCCAAAGACAGTATTTGACTTGATTTGAAAATGACATTGGGACAGACCAAGGTGGGCCATGCTGATCGCCTTCTGTCCCAAAATGTAAGTTAAGTACATGTGTTACGATCAATGTGTGATTCTATTCAGAAAAAAAAAGTAAAGGATAAAATTTCTCTGAGTCTAATTATGGGTGTATTTTTTGGAGAGGGGGAGCTTAAACATAAAATCAGAAATTCAGTACAGTTTCTATTTTATTTATTCTCCAAATAGTCTTCTTTTTCCCTTGAAATTTTATCAGAGACTGTAAGCATTAAGATGGCTTAGTAAAGTCTTGGAAATTTTACTCAATGGCTGAATATTCTAAGGAAAAAGGAATAGTTTGTTTAAATATGATTGTATTATCTTAAGAATCACACTGAGTAACTCACCATTATTTGATGATCCATTATATCTAAAAAGATTTTTCTACTTAAAAAAAGAAAGCAATTATAAACAAACTTTTAAAGAAGACTCAATATTCATTTAACCAAAATTTTTCCTTTTGAGACAATCATTTGCACACTTCGAAAAATAACTTTCCATGAGCAGTTCTGAGCAAACTAGAGAACAAACCTCTCAGCTAATTTGATGATTAAGTAAAATTAAGTTAATCTTCACCTGAAAGTTTTTTGTAATCATTATCTGATTTCCAGCAGAGTTTACTTTATTCAAAGAACTTTAAAGGTTTTGTCCTCCCCTACAGAAAATTAGAAGGCCAGCTGCACCAACATGAAATTACAATTACTAGAACAGAGTTATCCAACCTCTCACCACCTCAGCTGTCCCATCTGTAAAGTTAAATGTGATTAATTTGAGTATTTGATGTGAGCATTAGATAAGGTACTCTATAAAGTATTATAAATATTTCTTGCAATCATTTATGTGAAGTAAGATAACAGTACTGTTGTCTAAGCTAAGAGTATTTGCAGGATATGTTTTTAAATTGTTCAAACTGTAACAAATATGGGTAGAAAATATATTTGTGAATAAGTCAAGTATTGTTGCAAAGTTTTTTAAATAACCACACTGTTTAATACAGGTATATTTATTTTAAGACCTTAAATAATAAATACCTGTTTTAAAACATTAGAAATTTATAAGCTATTAATTTTTTTCTAAGCAGAAGAAATGTTGAGTACAACTCACCATACTTTTTTTCCCAGCTAAAGTATCATCTAAGGGCTCCAGCTACATTAACATTTTAGTACAGCCTTTGCAATCACTCTCTCTCTCTCTCTCCTTTATTTCAACTAGAAAAAAAAACGTATATTTTAACCAGAAGAAAAATATGTTAAATAATCTTTAACATAATACAGGGACATAAAATTTTAGATTTTCTTTCATTTACTTGGGATTCCTTTTAGCCTGGCTTTTTCTATTTAGTGAAAGGGATGATTTTGTTCTGTCAAGGATCTAACAGCATGTTAAGTGCTTATTCTTGTGTGAGCATCTGACCTAAAATACATCCTATACATAAAAGTATTTTCATTCGATATTAGTTAATGCTACTAACTTTATTAAAGCTTTGAAAAATGCAATCATATAAGCCACTGTACTAAAGTTACTGTACTAAGCAACTGTAATCATAATAAAACAATATATCTAGTGTAATCTTTTTGCAGTCTTAAAAACTTACTACTGGGCATCATGAATGTAACTGCTTGTTAAGTAACTCCACTATGCAGCTATTGTGTGTATAACATGAACATTTTACAATACAGTTCTTGAATTTATAACAAAGTTTTATTTGCTTTGGGGCGTTTTAAATCGGGATATGAATTTACCAAAGTAAATGATACCACTACAATAAAAAAAACTTCAAACATGAACTCTAAAGCTGCATTGTATTTGAGTTTGATACACTGTACTGAGTTTCAATGTTCCACTATGATTAGCTCACTTGGGGAATGAAGAAAACTGCAACCACAGTGGAGAGAGAATGGTTTTTATACTTTTTTTTTAGAAAAAAAAAAATCAAGAATGGTATATTCTAGGGGCCGACCCGGTGGTGTAGTGGTTTTAAGTTCACACGCTCCACTTCGGCGGCCTGGGGTTTGCAAGTTCGGATCCTGGGCGCAGACCTACATGCTGCTCATCAAGCCACGCTGTGGCAGCGTCCCACATACAAGATAGAGGAAGACTGGCACAGATGTTAGCTCAGGGACAATCTTCCTCAAACAAAAAGAGGAAGATGGGCAACAGATGTTAGCTCAGGGTCAAACTTCCTCACACACACAAAAGAAATAGAATGGTATATTCTAATAAATGGTAAATTCTAATTAAAAAATCAAAATAAAAACAATCCCATAATCCTGGGGAAAGTATAATAACAGTAGCCACCATTTGCAAAATGCTGACTCTGCTCCTAGCACTGTACTCAGCAACCTCGTACATAATCTTTAATCCTTACAACAATCCTACAAGATGCATAATATTATCCTTATTTTATGGATGAATAGAAAATATTCTTCAATATCTCTGGAATAGTTCAACAAATGCATGCTTCCATAACAAAAAACAAAAATAAAGACTAATTCAAAGTACTAACAATTGTAGGATCCCAGCCTTGGAGCTGTCACTAATTACCCATGTAACCAGGAAGGAATCCCTTAAATTCCCTAGGCCTCAATTTTCACACTTGAATACAAGGGGAAAGGTGGTGGTTGGTAATAGTTCCCACCCTTCCCACCTCACAGAGTTGTTTGAAATACATACATGTGAATATATTTGGCAAAGTACTACTCAAATATACAGTACTATTTGGATAAAAATCGTCACTGGGAGAGAAGAATTTGTGAGGACAATTATAGCTGACAATGATTAAGTAATAGCTCAAAACACAAGGGGGAAAGAGAATTTTTTTAACCCTTCAGTTACCGCCAGAAGAATTATTCTTTCCCAGTGAGTTACCCAATTTGAACTATTCTACCACAGTAGTTTTTTAAAGTACAAAAATGTTCTCTAACGTTAATTTGAAAGTTTCAAATGGAAATGCATTATGAGACATGGATCAATATTAAACTTTAGTGAAATAATATGCATACACACATTACTCAAATTATCTAAACATGAAATCAAAGGAAAGTTTGTGCACAGGGCAGAATTTGGTTCTATGTTTACAAATTATGGCCAGCATGTACACACAGATTGCCAATATTTATGAACAGAATACAAATAAACATTGTGAAATAAGGTATATGTGCAAATCACTACAAGCTTTTTCCAGTTCCTCTCACACACTTAAAACTCTAGACCCAGGTTGTCAAACTTTTTCTGTGAAAACCCACATAGCAAATATTTTAGGCTTTTCAGGCCACATGATCCCTGCAGCAACTACATATACTATTCTGCCCTTGTGGCTGAAAGCAGCTAATACATAAATGATACATAAATAAATGGCCATGGCTGTGTTCTAATAAAACTACAAAAACAGGAGGCATCCCAGATCTGGCCTGCAGCTTTAGTTTGCTGACACATGCCCTAGATCCTCAAATAAGATCTATGGATGACAGATCATACCCCAAATTCTCCAGGACCATCCTGTTTTCAAACACTTTCATCCTTTTCCACACCACGTGTCCCAAATCCTCAAGGTATTTTGAAGGTAACACAGAGGTTGTAAAAGCAAACCATACTTTGTCAAATTCTACAAAACATTGTGAATCTACTCTGCCCTGGAAATCTGCTGGGCTTCGATATTTCACAACTATTTCTAGCAATAGAACTGAATACCCATAACTTCTGCTTTCACAGAAACAGCTGAGAAAATCAGCCTATTTCACCATTTTGCCTACAACCAGACTTTTAGAGGCTATTCAGCTCAGCCAGAGTTCTGTCCTGTCTTTCCCTATTTTAAGGGAAAAAAAATTCATTTCAGAAAGCTTCTTTAGAACACACTACAGAAAACTGCATGGCTCAGTGGTTGGTTCAAAATCTTTCTTGAGTCAAGACCTCTTCGAAAATCTGTTAAAGTACTAACCCTCTATCTGGGGGGAAAAAAAAAAAAGCACATAAAAATTGTGTACAATTTTAAACGGTTCATAGACCTCCTAGAGCCAATCCATGGACTACTAGGTGTCCAAGGACTGTGGGTTTTTCCTTGTTGTCTCCCATTTTCTCCTTTTTCTCCTTCCCTCACAGGGATGGTTCTCTTTCCACCCCTAATTCCATCTCCCTCCCCAGCTTCTTCCCACAGTACTATGGAAAGAAATCAAAGAGACCTGGGCTTGAATCCTAGCTTAATCACTTACTAGTTTTGGCTTCCCTGTTTTGGAGGAAGGAGAACCTCAAGGAAGTATGAGTACTGTCAGAGAGGAAAGCAGGTCAACTTCCTGGATCTCGCTGCCAGGAAGGAAACTAAACTCCCTGGGTCTAAGACTATCTCTGCAGTTCACAGCAAGGCCCCTGTGAGGGCTCCCAACAACCTTGAGAGTTACATATCGTTTAAATAGTCATATTAAGGAGGCATCCCATATTTTCCAGGAATAAGCACTGTTCCAAAAGTCTGTCCTGTGGTTCCCATCAACAACCCTGTACATGCAAGATCATATGTTCTGACGTTTGCTTGGGGAAAAAACAAACTACTAACTCAGACATTTCACTCTGCAGTCTTAATTTCTTCAGGACTAGGGAAGAGGTTTTTTTCCGTATTATATTTTGCCTCTTTTCTTCCTTTCTTAATTTTGCAAATCTTTGGGAGTGAAGAACCAAAGGGAGGAAAATGAGATGGGCATTCATTTACTCATTCCACAAATATTGAGCACCTGAATGTACCACGCACTGTTTCAGAGGTCAAAAATGCCCACCCTCAAAGAGCTTTCATTCTGATGGGAAGAAAAAGACAACAAAACAAATACATAATAAATATACTACATTGGGTGGTAAGTGCTACAGAAAAAACAAAGCACAGACCACGAATCGAGTGGAGGTTGGAGAATGAGTTGCAATTTTAAATAGGTCAGCAACGACCTACCGAGGTGACATTTGAGTAAAGACCAGGAGGTGAGAAATTGCATCAATGTCACTGCTTCACTCAGATCTCCTCCTTTCCTTTTTCACCATTTTTGTGCCACGCCTTTCTCACTACAGTGAGCTTTGTTCCTAACATCCAGCACCTGCGGCTTTTCTTCAAGAGGACTGCCTAGAGACGACACAAGGGAGCATCTGCCCCAGCACCTCACGTGCCCAATCCTCCACCATAACCTCAAAGGCAGGGAAGAAACCAGGCTGTAGGTGCTGGACAAGGCAGGAGAAAGAAGGTCCTGGGATCCCTGCTGAGGCCTTCGTGTATCTTACATTAATCCTTTACGTCTCTGATGCTTTTATATTAAAAAAAAGCACTTTCATGTACATTATCTCAAGCACCACTCAGGCTGCCTGTTATCCTTGGATGACCTCTCTTTTAGTCTTTCCCTTCACTATGCTCTTCAATTTCACTAATCTCTATTCATGAGTATACAACGAATGGGGTAGAGACTACTATCAAGTTATCAAAGAACCGTGCGAGTTCAGGGGAAGGATTGGAGGGCGAGCGGGGATGGGGTGAGTTTAAGCTGAAAGTGGGGGACAGTCGTTCCCGGGGAGGGAACCGAATGAGCCCAGGCCCCGCTGGGCGGAGACCAGTGTCGCCAGGGCCCACCACCCGGGCCAAGGGGATTGACACCCCTGGGCCTTGGCTCAGAAACCTGTGGCAAGGA